CGACTGTAATGTTATTTCTTGGGAACAGTTCTGTCATTTAAGCCGCGCCCCATTAGGGTCTACCGAGCATCGGTCCCATTGGGGGGGGGGAGCATTTTGTCACCCCCCCCCCCTAAGATATCGAGAACCACGCAAAATAGCGACAAGAAGCAAACGGTGTTCGATGGCCCCAACGAGGAAATACCTTTTGGCTCAATTTCATTGACCTCGGTCAAACCGGGCGATGACGTCACAGGTCAAATGTCGAATTTTCACCGTTTACAGGCATTTCAAGAAATGTGTTGCAAAATCGAGTAAAATGCATAATAACACGGAACAAAAATGATAGAAGAACGCGTTTCGGCTAAATAGCTGTCATCAGCTACTTAGCCGAAACGCATAATTTAATAAACACAATTTTAATAACAACGCATAATTTAATAACAAACGCATAATTTTGTTCCGTGTTATTATACTTGTCTCAACTGAAATACAATAGTAAAATGCATGTCATTCATGGATAAGGAATCGATGAATGACAGTTTTCGATGGGAAATTGTTCGTCAAACAGTCAAACACATATTTTGCTATTTGGGGTCATCGATACCAGGTCAGGTCACAGAGGTTAGGTCACTGAGGGTCACAATATGAAAATAACTATTATGTGATGCATGTTTTCTGGTCCATTTTACATGACAAATGCGATTATGTGGGTCAGGCAGCCTTTGGGGCCAGTTTAGGTTATGTTCTGGTAAAGGTCAGGTAAAGGTCAGGTCAAATTTCTAATTTCATATTTCTGCATGAAATGGGTATCAATTTGATGCAGCTCGTCACGGGGAGTCTAATGGTGGTCTTTGTTTTGCGCTACGTGGTCCAGAATTGCTAGAAGTTGAGTTAAAATTGACGTCATCAATTTTGAATATGTTTTTCGCTATAACTTGGCCAAAAAAGGAGGTATCGATCAACAATTTGTTATGTAGATCGAAGAAAGCAGGGATTATCATATATATTTCGTTCTTTTTAACTCGAAAACTTTTTGATTTTTTTTAACAGACCAATTGTTTGATTTGGGGGGTCAAAGGCTCAAAAGTTTGAAAATCCCAGATTGGAGTTTTGTAGCGCCGTCTTTTCTCTACACGACCAGATAGAGAGCTTTGAAGTTGCTTGTTAACAGTAGCTTTTGTGAGCGTTTCAAGATTTCATGTTTTTTGCTCATTTTTGCTCGAACATGACCTCAGTTTGACCTCAATAACTCCTGACCTAAGGTAATCTAAGACTTGAAATTTTGTGTGAAGGTGTCACATTGATGCCCGGCAAGCTACTGAAAATTTAGCGGGGCTGCGCGCCGCCGTTTTCTTGCTATACAGGAAAATACATAGGAGGGCTATATTGCCCACCCCCCCCCCCCCACCCCCCAGCGGGGCGAGGATTAACCGTGACCTGCTGAGGCTGGAGGTCGTTTCACAACAAAGCTTTGTTTTCTGCTGCACTATATTTCCAAAACTTTGTCACAAATTGACCAAGAAATATGTTGCATGAATGATATTGCAGTATTAATAAAAGGATACTAGGCGTAAAAATTTAAGTAACATCACTGTATGCTGATTTTTGCGTTATTTTTAGAACAAAATCGATGTGAGCCACTAAAAAAGTAAAACATAACATTGTTTATAAAGAAATATGCCATAACTCGCACCCATATCGGCGTTTTCGCAGGCGCTAGCGGTTGGGTGGGGATGAATCGGCTTTTGTTGGCCACAGTTGATCGGCCCACAGTTGATCGGCTTTTGATCAAACTAGAGCTTCTTGAAAAGAAGGAGCATGTTGCACGTGACGAGAGGAAGCCGATGATACCCTTATAGATCATAGGTCATTCGTTGACCATAGGTCATGCATTGACCTTCCAAGTCAGTTTAATGACCCAATAGTCGGAAGGGTCTAGACCTGCCTAGAAGTTTTTGTCGTGAGCTTTTATGGAGCTTTCGGGGGAGAGAGAGAGAGAGAGAGAGAGAGAGAGAGAGAGAGAGAGAGAGGGAGAGAGAGAGGGAGAGAGAGAGAGAGAGAGAGAGAGAGAGAGAGAGAGAGAGAGAGAGAGAGAGAGAGAGAGGATATTATGCGAAGTGCTCCATGGGATGACCAGAGTTGGCCTCCCGACGACACAGAGACAGAGACAGAGACAGAGACAGAGACAGAGGCAGACAGCGAGAGAGAGCGAGAGAGCGAGGGCGAGAGAGGGAGAGAGAGAAATTAGCCATTTTAGAAAACGGTCTGTATTAGTATTAAGTGACAATGCACGGATTTAAAATGAACGTTAATCCTTCTCACAGCTAGCCTGTTCAACGTGTTTCCATTTCCATCGCTAGTGACCTCGCCTTTAGGCCATGTGACCGGAAACCGGCAGCTAAACAGCAGATATTCTAGGGGCGCGGAAACCTTGAAGATTGGCTGTGCCGCAATGTCATTCCTAGTGGTTTTGAACCTGGCTAGATCGGCTCCATGCGCTCCGCAGATCGGCAAATTTGTAGTTAAGCAGCCCTGAAGGCACCAGCCAAGTTCCTCCGCTGGTCCCGGCCGAATAAGACATAAGAGACCAAACATAATTTCACATGTTGGGACGTTTCTTATCACAAGTCTAGAAACGAACGGTTAATGAGACCTGACACGTCGAATGCCCATTCTGGCCTATAATGGGCTCTAAAAACTGGTCACAGACCAAAGGTCATTTTGGTCAAGATCATGAAATTTCCAGGGTATGTGTTAACTTTTAATTGCAGATGGTCTGAACTTATCCTGACTCCTGACCGCATGGGTATTTATTTACTTATGTTGAGAAAAATAACTTACGGCAATGAAAGTTTCGCTGCTATCCGCCACTATTTACGCGAGTTATTCAGGAAAAAGCAAGGACAGGGGTTCATTTCATCACCCCTTATTAGAAGTAGGGTTTCCATTAAAAGTGAACGGTAAAATCGAAAAATAACATTTCCTGTATATTTCTCAATTTATTATGGTGGGTCCTTTTCTTTCGTAATGTTTATAAATGCTTATTAGGTAAACAATATTGTAAGTTGATCATGGCACGACATTTTCATTCTATTTTATCCCGTTCGTTCTAGCCCCTCTCGCCTGCCGCCCCCCCCCCCACACACACACACCACCACCACCACCACCACCAAACCGGCTGAGTTAGCTGAGGCAGGCTGGCTGAGGCGAGCGCCTCCCCTCCCTTCATGCCAAACAGAGCCTGGCTGTCGTGACCTCTGGCCTCACCGCCCGAAGGCTCGCCCGCTGCACTGTCCAAGGACGCCCTGCGCGGGCCGCAGCCTCTGCCGAGTCCCGCCTCTATCCACCGTTCACCACGCGCTGGATTCATTCATGCCTCTGTGTTTCAGCGTCCTACCCGTTGGATGGCACCACTGTAGTCATAGGCGACTGCAGGGAAGCCACGGTCAGAATGCCCCAAACGGCGAATTTTGAGGTTTTCTTTTAATTTCTCCGAAACTAGCCGGCACACGATCAAACCTCTTTCCATGATCATGGAAAGGAGCTATACGAATAAATCGGTCACATTTTCAAGCCTACAAAGCTGATGACGAAAAAGATATAGCCGGAAAAGCAAAACCTACGCTTAAAACCCGCGAGACCTGTACTAGACAACTGACGCCTTATCGCTGATTTTCGACAAAATGCGTTTTACTCGGTGTTATAGCGCTTTCCCTAGAAGCCCCGTGAACGGTGAAACATTTTATCTTTGACCTGACCTGTGACGTCATCGGTGACCCCGAGGTCAATGAAATTTGGTTTCGCTCGACAAATTTGACAGGGCTATCGAACGCCGTTTGAATTTTCCGGATCCGTCCAGTAGTTTCGGAGATACGGGGGGGGGGCAAAAATGCCCCCCCCCCACCGCGCGGAAGGTGGCTGGTAGGCCCACCGCCTGCCGGGTTAACACCGCCAACTTGGGAAATTCGGTATTTAAAAGCACATTGTGACACCTAACCCAGGAGTGGCGCATTTCAAATAAAGAAAGAACGTTGTTGCTATGTTTTCTTTTTAGAGGATTATGAAAAATTTCTAGAAAATGAAATTTTGGAACTTTAAGTCGTATAGTTATATAAATGAGTACCTACTACATTGTCCCAGGGATATACGATATAATAAAGTCGTTTCCATTGTATTTTAGAAATCTACTAAAACGCCTCGAAATTTATGATAAGAAGAACAACTTAATAGTCCAGCAATCTGCAAATTTCGTTGCCTGCTGAGCTCGGGCGGTGTTACCCAACGGTCGGTGCTACCCCAAAAAATGTAGACATTTACTAAATGTGGCATAATGCAATTATGAACGACACTACAAGAAAACAATTGTTTGATATGTATGTAAAATTGATGCGACAATCTAATGAATTTGAAAGATTGATTATTTGGCCAAAAATTGCGTGACTAGACCCTTAAAGGTTAAGGGGGTCGGTGTTCCCCCATCTTCCCCTAATTTTTCTAAACTTTGGCTGTGGGAGAGCTTCCGCATGCCTAATTGGCTCGGTGTGACAGCCATCCCTTTCGCCGATCACCAAAGAACCCCAGACAGCCGCTCGGTACCTTCCTTCCTCTGTTCGTCGGTGAGAGCTCTCCATTGTCGTCCATGCTCCCTCCAGTTGAAAGCGAGGTCTAGGTATAATGCCCGGCATCGACATCAATATTATGGTTCTTTTGACTTGTAAGTGAGTTGACCTACTCCTGAAAGCTGCTCAATGCTCAGTGCAACACGTGTCGCTCATCACCCCCACCCCCACCCCACCCCACCAGTTGATAATTATTGGTCAGGTGTTTTAGCAGTAGTGATAACCTGTGATAACCTGATATCTGTAAGAATCTTGGTGAGACCGAGACGCACTGAGCCCTTGGCAGTCGTGTTGGCTATGTTCTTCTGACTTCATCGCCCGTGGCCGCTGACCTCGCCCCTACCCGCTGACCCTCGCCCCTCCGCCGGCCCTGCTCCCTGACCCCTGCCCTGCTGACAGACCACGGTCAGCTGTTTGCCTGGGGCAGTAACGAGGACGGCCAGTGCGGGCTCGGCGACGCGCCCGGGGCCTGCCTGCCGACGCCAGTGCCATCTGACGAGGAAATCGTCAGTCTCAGTTGCGGCTACCGCCACACGGCGTTTGTGACAGGTCAGTTGGTCTGTAATTGTATGGGGTCCTGTTAGTCATGTCTGTCAGGACCAATGTTAAAACTAACATGGCAAATATTTTTCTCAACTCCCAGCTAGCAAATTGTTACATGGAGATCTTACCAATGCCATCGATCTTATTAATCTGTTACAAGCTCTTTCAGTGGGGACTGTCGTCAGTAGACTCGTTCATGGATCCAGGAAGAGAAGTAAGAGGGCACTTATTACGACGGACCAGTGAACGCGTTCACCTGGTATGAAATGCGCTCGTCATTCTGGGGCCTGGGAGCATATTAACAGAAAAAACATCCCACCTGAAACATCACAATACATCGGTACCGTCCTTAGGTTATAGGTAGGGGAAGCCGGGGGAAGCCCGGGCGCGGGGGAAGCCCGGCCACCCCGTTTCCGGCTAAATTATTCACAATAAAATGCTCAACTGTTTGTCCTTTCAGCGTGGCAGCTAAGGTAACGCCAGCAAAAAAGTTAAGGCTGACAAAAATTGCATATTGTTAAAGTTATAGCGCAAAAATGATATTTTAAGGGTTTTTAGCTAAAAAGTGAGATATCTTGCACTGTTAATGTTATACCATACAGTACTGATATTCATACGAATGTTATGTAAGGACCGTTTAAGTGTTTGTAGTGAGGGGTGACGAGGCAGGCTGGCTTAAGTATGACATTTTTTCGAATATCGCTGTTCTAAAATAAAAATTAGCACATTGGGGTAACCCCGGGCGAGTGGCCAAGCTTACCCCCAACCGAGAGTCCGAGAGCAATGCCACTAAACCACTGTTTTCCATGAGATAATAGGTACTAAGCAGGATTGGTTTACACCTAGATCAAAGATAAATTTCGAAAATAAACATGTTATCATAGACAAAGCCAGTCATGTCACTTAAAGGGACACTCCCACCTTAACATTAGTTTTGAGTTGAGATAGCCAAATTGGTGGCCATGGCCTGAAAATACCGGTTTGGGCACTCACAACATCGACAAATGCTTTAATTCGGAGATATGGAATTTCAAACTTGCAGTTTTCGGATTCTAAGGGGCTAGTGCATTGGTATGCCCCCTTAGAATTTGTGACGTCAGCGGAGATCTAACGATTTTTAAATCTTTTACTAAAACGTTTGGTAGCACGCGGTGGTATATGCTGCTTTGCGCGCAACAAATGCCGCACTTTCAAATAAAGTCGCTAGGAACAGCGGAGATCCCAAAAAGTAAACAAAAGTAAAAGTCTAATATCTTGAAAACCGGTGAATATTTTTCGATGAAATTTGGTAGATATTCGTTTTCGCTCTTTCTGAACCGAGCGACATCACTTTCGTGCCAATTCATTAACTTTTTTGAAGGTGGGAGGGTCCCTTTAAGGTCAACTAGGGTCAAACTACGTTTTTGCAGATAACGCGACAGACAATGAAGCTAGAGCTTCAAAAATGGTGTCGTTGTGTTCTTCTTCATCAGCCGAGTCGAATGATATGCAATATGATGCATTAAGGTAAAAAGAAAAATAAATTTTAAGGAATTTTGAAATACACATTTTTTGTCAATTTTGCATCACGATTTTCATCGACCTGTACTGTATATGTAGTAGACGCTAGCTAAAATACCAGTAGTGACATAAACTCTAAGATGTCCAGAGCTAATCAGCACCTTAATATTTCACTTTCCGTTAATATTTGGAAAACACATAATGGTTTCATCAACTCGTTGTAAAGCGCTGGGGAGGTGGCCGGCGTTACCCCTATGCCGGGCTTACCCCAGAAAAATCAACACTTTTTAAAACTCGATTTTCTCAACCTTATACTTATTCCACGAAACCGAATTTTTGGGAAAACACGGCCAATGAACTTAGCTAGCTAGGAGGATATCAACATTTTATACAGCACGTATGGTATGTAATAAAAATGAAAAAGAGCTTACTATGCCGGGCTTCCCCCGGCTTCCCCTACCTAACTTTTAAGCAACCATCGCACTAGTATTTTGTAGTCCTGGGTCCCTGTACAAGGGAATCAGGCTTTTTGACCTAAGATCCTTAGGAGCCAAATGCTGCGTCTCGTTTGCAGTTTGTTTTCTTGTTCTTACTTACTCCCCATGTGCCGCAAAAATATATATGATGGTGATGATGGTGCAGCGATTAATTGCAGATTATTTGAATAACGGCGGCCTCCCTATTTGTTTTTCCAAGCACACTGATCCCTTGCTCTGGACATGCCGCACGGCCAAAATCAATGAGTGTTTTTTTTCCTGCTCAATGTATTTTATTGCTATCAATGAATATGGGCTATAGCAAAGCGAAGCACTACCCTTCATGCCCTATCCATGACGCACGCGAAGGCACCATACCGCATGTTCGCGACTTCAATCGCACATAAACAATACACATTTGTTAACAGTCGGTCTGTTGAGTATCCATGTGAACCTTTCATTGTGTAACGCTTAAATACGGATATAAAAATATTTTTAGGACACAATCGGCAGCTGGCAGCGTCACAGGGAATACAAACTCTAAGAAATCTCAACATTGCTTCTCCTACCTCCTCCCAGACCGCTTGGCTAGAACAGCCAGCAAATTGTACGTCCAGTCACACACGATGAGCAATACGCAACTGTCTTTGTCCGATCGCTGAACACCGATGTAATGAGCGATTTAGACGTTATACATTGTGCAACACATGCACGGTCTCCCCACCTAACGCTATCAGATCACGGCATGCGAATTTCTTAATCTTATTATCATCAACGAGATCCTCGCATCGCATTACAAACGAAAGGCATCTGGAGGATGGCATGAATGAACTGGTTAGACCCTCGACTGGAGAGCAAAAACACAAAAAAATACTCGTGCATATTCGGTAACAGTAGGAGAGCATCCTGGGCCATGGGTAAGTTTCTTGCCTCTAGGTTTAGACATTTTGGTTCAATTGCCGGGCAGTACACGTGGCATTGCCGCTGCCTGGCCCCTTGGAACAGCGTGAGAGTTCCGGTTAGCACTTGGTCCGCTGGATATGGTCAAACCCCCTATCGGTAAAAGTATAGCAAAGCGTCAAACATTTTCCAAGCCAAGCTTTGAAAGTACAATTTTATTCATTGCACACACCGCCATTCACAGTCGCTTGCCCTTTTTGCCCACCCGTTCCGTGCTGCACCCTACTCTCCCCCCCCCCCCCGGCTTTGGCCCATATAAATGTACGGCACCAAGCAGTGCCCACCGACTATTTGGTGTCCTCCAAGGGTCGACGGGCCAGACGCGCTCCCTCCGGGCCAGTCGTCTCCCGCAGCGCCTCCATAACGTACACGTCGCTGGGCGCCAGCACGACGTAGTAGGACAGCACGCACGCATACCAGTACCACATCACCGGCAGGGTGATGGCCGCCACGCTGCCAATCATGACCAGGAAGGCGATCAGGATGCCAATGCCGTCGTATGGATTTTTCGCCGCATCCACATATTCGACGAGCAGATAGAGTTCGGTGCCCAGCAGGGAGAGCGTGACCAGCGACGTGAAGATGCCGTACCACACCACCCAGGGCAGCATGAACCTGCGCTGGTTCCTGCGGATGCCGTGCACCAGGAGACTGTCCATTGTGATGTTGATACCGCACGCCAAACACAATACGCCCAGTATAAAGCCCAAGAACCTGATGGTCCGGAAACGATAATGTCTGTAATCGTCGTCTTCAACAGGAGTGGCATTGTACATGCCCACTTCAGCAAAAAACCAGCAAGCCCATCCAAATAGCACGCCGACGTTGACGACGAGGTAGAGGATGGCGATCGTGAGCGCTCCGCTCCGGAGAGGAACACAGCAGCAGCACCAGTTCAGGCAAGCCATCTTGGTGGTTCCACGTCCAAACCTGTGACGAATGAGAATGAATGAGTGGGGTAGGGAGTAAGTAGTCCAGATCGAAACTAAAAAGTCATAATGTGTCACTACTGCGGACGAGACGCAATACATAGAAAAAAACAACATTTTAGTATATATACAATGGGAAATGATGACCATTGCTGCATCTCCCAAATTTACTTATATAAAAATCAAAATGTCCGTATGTATGTATGTATGTATGTGACGCGTCCGTCACGCTTGGCGGGCTATTGCTCCGGAACGGTGCGGGCTACGGGGGTGAAATTTTCGACTGAAGTCGGACGCGTGCATCTGTTTGTTGTATTAAATTTTGGAGGGGGTGCGTGGAGCGGTGTGCACGTGGCGGGCGCATCTTTGCGGGATTTTGGGCCGCGGCTGGCGCCGAGCAGAGAGCACGTGCCCTAGGCTCAGATTGTTCGCTGCGAAAATGAGGGAAAACAGAGTCGGAGGTCGTTGACCTTTGGCAATGAATACCGGAACAGAGCACCGCCGGCCAGGAGGAGACGCCAAATTTATTCTGGCCATAACTCGGCCGCTACTTGGCCGATTTTAATGAAAATTTATTTATTACGCTGCGCGTAATGCTGTCCCTCTAGTTTACATATATAAAAATCAAAATGTCCGTATGTATGTATGTATGTAACGCGTCAGTCACGCTTGGCGGGCTGTTGCTCCGGAACGGTGGGTGTTGCGGGGTTGAAACTTTGGCGCCGAGTCGGACGCGTGCATCTGTTTGTCGTATTAAATTTTGGTGGGGGTGGGTTCGGTGGTTTGCACGTGGCGGGCGCATCTTTGCGGGATTTTGGGCCGCGGCCGGTGCCGATCAGAGATCACGCGCCTTAGGCTCAGTTTCTTCGCTTGCAAAACCATGAGCGGAAACATCCCTGGGGGTCGTTGACCTTTGGCAATGAATACCGGAACAGAGTACCGCCGGCCAGGAGGAGACGCCAAATTTATTCTGGCCATAACTCGGCCGCTACTGGGCCGATTTTAATGAAAATTGATTCATTACGCTGCGCGTAATGCTGTCCCTCTTTACGCTGCGCGTAATGCTGTCCCTCTAGTCACATATATAAAAATCAAAATGTCCGTATGTATGTATGTATGTATGTGACGCGTCAGTCACGCTTGGCGGGCTATTGCTCCGGAACGGTGCCGGCTACGGGGGTGAAATTTTTGGCGCAAGTCGGACGCGTGCATCTGTTTGTCGTATCAACTTTTCGAGGGGGTGCGCTCGGTGGTTTGCACGTGGCGGGCGCATCTTTGTGGGATTTTGGGCCGCGGCCGGCGCCGATCAGAGAGCACGTGCCCTAGGCTCAGATTGTTCGCTGCGAAAATGAGGGAAATCAGAGCCGGCAGGTCGTTGACCTTTGGCAATGAATACCGGAACAGAGCACCGCCGGCCAGGAGGAGTCACCAAATTTATTCTGGCAATAACTCGGCCGCTACTGGGCCGATTTTATTGAAACTTGATTTATTACGCTGCGCGTAATGCTGTCCCTCTAGTCACATATATAAAAATCAAAACGTCTGTCCGTATGTATGTATGTATGTATGTATGTAACGCGTCAGTCACGCTTGGCGGGCTATTGCTCCGGAACGGTGCGGGCTACGGGGGTGAAATTTTCGACGCAAGTCGGACGCGTGCATCTGTTTGTCGTATTAAATTTTGGTGGGGGTGCGTGCAGCGGTGTGCACGTGGCGGGCGCATCTTTGCGGAATTTTGGCCGCGGCCGGCGCCGAGCAGACGGCACGCGCCTTAGGCTCAGTTTCTTCGCTGCAAAACTGAGGGAAATCAGAGCCGGCAGGTCACTGACCTTTGGCAATGAATACCGGAACAGAGCACCGCCGGCCAGGAGACGCCAAATTTATTCTGGCAAAAACTCGGCCGCTACTGGGCCGATTTTATTGAAAATTGATTCATTACGCTGCGCGTAATGCTGTCCCTCTTTACGCTGCGCGTAATGCTGTCCCTCTAGTCCCAATATAAAAATGGGAAGTGATGACCATTGCTGTACTATCTCCCAACTCCCATCTTTATTCACTGGATGAGCCCAAGGCCATATATAGGGATGAGCCGGTCCCGTAGCTCAATTGGTAGAGCGTTGGACTCCACGTGGTGAGAACACGCGTTCCCGGTTATAACAGTCCGAGTTCGAAGCGCGACGGACGCTAGACATTTATGGGCCTCCTGACAGGTATTGTTGCGGTTGGTGGCAGGCCGTAGCCAGGCGAAGTCAGTGAGGGGACCGGCCGTGCGGGCTATGTGCGCACGTTAAACTTTGGGCTCTAAATTCTGCCATAGAAGTAGAACCGGAATTGCGCGATCGGAGGGTAGAGGGCAGGGTCGCCGCGACAAGCCTCGCTTAGCGGTTGCTCTGTTCCTGTGAATCCTTCCTATCAAAAGGTTCGCACTAAATTTATAAAAAAAAAAAAAATGTATTCGAAGAGCAATGCTTTCCAAATTGTTTCAAATGTAACTTCTGAAATTGTTTAGAAAGGTGTGTGCTTATTGTTTTAACCCTATTAGTGGCAGGCTCCTGGCTACCCCTATTAGTGGCAGGGGGGGGGGCTGTTTACGACCCCCCTTGATATCTCGAGATCTAACGGGCCGATTTTCAAAATTCAAACGGCATTCGATTTCGCTCAACGTGATCTACATTTCTAAAAAAAAAAAAAAAATTAAGAAATGTCAATAGGGGGGTAGAGGGGGGTAAAAACGGGCAAATTGCAGATGCATTTTAGACTGTTTATCACGGCCATGTTTCTGAACCAATCATAACGCAACTTTTGCCGATCGATAGAGAATGAACCAGGAATTCACATGGATCCTAAAAATATGCATTTTCAAAAATCATAGGCGGATACAGATCATTGAGATTGGGGGTACACAAAAAGTAAAGTAAATAAGGTTTTTGTTGGTACTGTTTCTAAAAAGGGTGGTAATGGTCTTGTTATGTTACAATTTTCTTATGAGAGAACGACTACAATTGTATTGGTCATGCATAGGCGGTGTCAGGGCACCTATGTTGGGAGGTAAAACATAACCCCCCCTTTTTGGACGCCTGGATCCGCCTATTATAGCAAAAACGTGTCAAAAGAGGATGCACAATAACTTTGTATATGTTTATGTTATCAATATCACATGATACCTTTCATTCACTGTTCGTAAAACTGGTGCATACAGTTATAATACATCAGCATCGTGATCTTCGCCCAAATGACTCGCTTCACGAATAGGACCCCCCAATTCCCAGTGCTCTGGAGCCGCCCCTGGTAAAGTTATGAACTTGAAATTTTCAGGGAATGTGCCCAATTTAGTTTAAGGAGAAGTCAGAAAATTTCAGCATCGTAGCTTCAGCGGTTTCGGAGATATTCCCGAAAAACCTGAGGGGTGGATGAAAACAGCCCCCCCTGGCAATGGCCAGTTCCACTTGTGTTGTGTCACCTGCAAATTTCTGCAACTGTAAACTGTGACTTTACAACAAAAATGATATGGTAAGGTACCAAGTTAGGTTGAACTCATGAAACGCTTAGGAAAAATTATGAAAATAAAAATAAAATGATTTGAATAAGGTGCTTTGAGTGACTGAGTCACTAGTTCAGGGGCGGAGAGTTGTCATAATCCCTAAGGGTGCTTTTCTAGCACCTGGTGAATGGAAGCGACAAATTCTTACATAGAAAAGCAGATATATGTACGTTTTTCCAGCAGCATCACTCTCCTCACAACTTTAGCCAAGCAGTTTGTCTCAGATCTAATTTAAGCATTCCTGGAGCACTATTATAATTTATATGGCAACTTTTGAATTTCAGGGGTGCTCGAGCACCCCCAAACCTCTAATTCTCCACCCCTGCACTAGTCAGAACCATTACTTGACCATGGATCATCCATGACTTGACCATTCAAATGCCAAACCAGGATGTCAATGAGTGCTCAATTTTCCTTCAAAAGTAAGTACCTAATTTCCTCAGCCAGGATGCAGGATAAAATAGCAATTGATAGGTAGGTAGGTACCTACCTATCTATAAAGTGACTTGCAAGTTGCATAACATGCAATCTTTCACTATTTTTTTTTTGTCTTTATAAATTGAAATCACAACTCAACCAAAACCTGACCTTCCTCAAATAATACCATTTTGGGTAATTTTATCTGAACTTTATCAAATTTGAAACTTTTGGTAGTTTAGAGGGGTACCTACATTTACAAACACCCTTGAACCACCCCTTACTAGTCGCGTTTACATAGCATTTTTGACGAGGCTCTAGCTCGTTTATTGATTTGGCAATAATTTTGATGCAGTGGTCTTCAAATATTTATAGGGGATCATTTGGTAAATTTTAAGCAGTATTGATATCTTTTGCAACATCACGGACGAAGATATAAGCTTGCAACAAACCCTATGTAAAGTGTAAACGTGTCTATACTGTTACATGCACCTCCTCAAAACTGAAACACTCAAAACTAAACCCCCTGCTGAAAGCTGCAAATTTGACAAAATTCAGCTAAAATAGCCAAAATTGGTATTTTATGATTACAGCCAGGTTTAATTGTGACCACTCAACTCTATAACGGGTGACTTATTAATTAAATTAGGTAAGATTGCCAATTATGGTGCAGCTATGACACTTGAGGCGCAGAAGCACCGTGCCTTGCAACACTTACCAGCAGCCATACAACTTCGACAAAATATTTTACACGATTCAGATAACGCCGTCTCTGCCCCTAGCTTTTAGTTAGTGTTCCACCACAGCTCCTGACCACAAATTCACATCCAATGATTCACCGCAGGCACCTCAGTTCAAGATGTAAACACCGAACTCGTAAAATGTCAAGGCCGATATGTAAACGAATATACGATACCAATACGGTGATGAGCAAGGTGATGAGCCATAAAGTGCTGCCACCTAGATCAGGGCCTGTTTCTTTCAATTCACCGATAGATGGCTCTCAGCTCCGTACCCAGCAAACATACCCGTTGCCCAAGCAAGTGGGTTCCATATCGGGTGAACCGGGTGAACATGGGCCAGATCCAGATTGGCCCACATGGGACATTGTCACATTGGCTACCCATATGGGCCCACATAGAATAAAAATGGGCCATGCGGGCCAGTGCATATGGGCTACAGATTGAGATGGGCATCCCATGCGGGTCCCATAATCCATATGGATCACCCATGTGAACTCCAGCAGGTAAACTGCGCGTGGTATTTATTGGCCTAACGCCCTAGCCTGACCGATGCGATGGGTGCCTGCTGCCAATAGTCAGTTGTAGGTAATCTGACCAATACAGATGTCGCGACGCTTCTGTCCGAATATTCATGTACCGTAAAGTGGGGCTATTTGAAACGGATTTTACAGTTTTTGGCCTTTCCCTTCAAAACGGTTGATATTTCCTATAGCATGTAAATTGCAAAAACGTAGTTCTCTGTAACCGCTTTCAGAAAAGGTCAATTTTGGTTCAGCTATTAACCATAAATAAAGTTATTTTTATACTTGAAGCCTGTCTCAAATAGCCCCATAGTGTGGGGCTATTTGAGACAGTTTTGGTTGCAAGGAAATTGAAGAAAATTGGTCAAGCTAGGGATAATTCTTTTAATGCCATGCGATTGGAAATTAAATTTTGATACTTCTAGCAAAAAGCATTTCTTTCAACTACAGTTAAATAACCCTTATAATCAAACTTTTCGTTTTTCGTTGGACCTAGCATTTCGGTCTGCTAAAAAATTGCATTACTTTATGCTAGGGCTGTCATAATATGATGTGATCCTAAGCTTTAAAAAGCACAGGATGATTATCTAGGACTATTTCTTAGTCAATGACAGTGAAATTTTCAAATAAAGTTGTTGTGTTTATTTCTGGCGGCGTAAAACACATAGGCCGAAAGTTGGTGGGGCTATTTGAGACAGTCTCGCTACTGCATTAAACGTACCGTAATGCATTAAAAAAGGAAAGCAGTTTCCAAAATGGTTGAATGAATGATATGCATGATTGATTGTTCCATTGCACATCAACCTGTGAAGAAATAACAGAAAAAGGTCAAACGGTTTTGATTTTATACCGATTTTCCTAGATCACTGCATGTTGTATCGAATGGCCGGTTACCGCACTGCATCAAGTACGTATACTGAAGGCTCACCTAACAGTTAGTATGTATGATAAATAACCTTCAATGGTGCTTATGGTCAACCAGAGTAGACATGGGTCGATTACCGACCACGTCAGTGACTGATGAAACACATTCTATATGCACATATTCATAAAGGTAACTAATGCCGTCACAAACTGGATTGTCGTATTAGGTTACAATGTGTTAATATTGCTTGCTGCTCAAAGTACCATGAACCCATGGCCGATTCACCGGTGTTCCTTAGGTCGAACGTTTGATACACCTTAGGCAGATGGCGGTAAGTCTTTAAGATGCATCATATCACCTGTGTTTAGGGCCTTGGCATCACAATCATCAGCTGTATTTGGCATGCGTTGAGGTTTGACGAGGTGGGTATCATCGGGATTCTGAGACATCGGGTTACATAATTGTCACTACCGCTAACAATATATAATGTCTTCATGCAAAATGTGCTTAGCCCATAAGTAAAACGATAGTTACGATAGATTCGGTTGCAAAGTTTTTAAAACTTCAACCATTTTAAGCTGCAGGTAGGGGTGCTTTTCGTATAACTTAAATTGTGGTTTTTCTGTATTTCTCATTAAATGCCAAATTTCTTGCAAAAAAATTCAAAATTTTCAAAAAACCCTATCCATGGAATTCATTGTTAAATTCCACATCAGCCTGAGCAAAAATTGATCAAATATATCAAACGGTTTTGATTTTACAGCAATTTTACTAAGCCACTGCCGCACTGTCTCAAATAGCCCCACTTTACGGTACCAGTAGAACGCCTTTTGGGGCGACTAACGGAGCGAGCGAGAGGGTGGGCCTTGCACGTGCGAAATTTCGAGGGGGTACCTCCAACTGACTTGTGCACGGCACCTTACTAACCGGTCTCTAGCGATGTGCCAAATTTGAGCACAATCGGCCCAGCCGTTCTCGAGATCTGGAAGCGGCACCCTGCACGTGCGCACGTGCAAAATGGGTCCCAACTGACTTGTGCACGGCACCCTACGAACTGGTCCCTAACCGTGTACCAAATTTGAGCGCCATCGGTCCAGCCGTTCTCGAGATCTGGAAACGACCCCTGCACGTGCGCACGTGCAGCAGCATCCCAACTCTGGCACATGGATATGCAGTGCCTAGTGGGTGCCTACCTACATGCCAATTTTCAGCGCAATCTGCCAAGTAGTTACCGAGATATTGCAACAATTACAAAACTGACACCTCTTCGTTTTGCACGTGGCACGTGCATAAGGGGTCACCCACATGCATCGGGAATAGTCCAATACTTGGTAGAAGGAATAAAGCTACCCTACAAAAATTACCGCATGTAAATCGGTCAAGTGGTTGCTGAGATATAAGCCTCGCAAAAGCGTCCGCACGGCCGGCCGGCCGGCCGGCCGCTCATACTCAGAAATTTCCGTTAATCTAAGGAAAGACTACGCTCGCTTCGCTCGCTCCGTAATCACCATTCCGTCGTTTCTATCCTGGCTCAGAAGTCAGAACATTCAAATCCTTCTCCTCCACACCTCAAGTCTCAACCGACTGTCCCGGGTTAGGCGGGCAGCTTTATCCCATGCGGGAACTCCCGTAAGAGCACGCCCGTAGCCGGGTGGGGTGAGTGATTGGGACCGGGGGGCTGGTCGGCCTGTCCTCTGGACGTGGGCTCAGCTCCGGAGACTCACCACTCACTAGGGCGCTCACCCATTAGTCTCCCCCTAATTCCTATCATCCTTCCGGCCCTGAAATGGTCTCGTCAGACCGAAATGGCCTAACCCAACGAAACAAGAATATTCATGTTTCAGTGGGGCCTTAAGGTTTAGAGGTAGTTTGATGCCTGTCAACGACAACAATAGAGCCGTTAGCCGACAAATCTGTATGTTTTGATCTGAGTGCTACCTGTCGGCAACAATCAGTTGTAGGTATCTGACCGATGTCCTACTATCTGGTCTCACAGTCAGCGGTGAGCTGTACACGTTCGGTGAGAACGACGACGGTCAGCTGGGTCTGGGGGACCGGGAGGGCCGGAGCCGTCCCACGGCGGTGCCGCGACTCGGCTCGGTCACCAGGGTCTGCTGCGGCGGCCAGCACACTGTGGCGCTCACAGGTCAGCTGCAGTGCCGGCCCAAACTAACCGCGAGCGTGCGCCCGCTGTATCTGTCCGCTCCCGGCGCTATGTCAGGGGGCTTGCGACCGGTTTTACCCGACGGAACTAACCTTCGACTTTCGACCCGGGTTCCGGGATGTGTTGTGTAATGGATTGGAGAAATCACAGTGATATAAGTAAAAATGTATGGAAAAATAAGATACATACGCTGAGCTGATGAGTCTCGTGATTGATTTCAAACCGCTCCGATGTAGGTAAACATGTGAACGTGGTGTCATACTTGCAGCATAAAAGCTAATATTACTTTTGATTCCATTAAAATTAACGTTATACAAATATACATTTGATATTAGATGAAGCAAATATTCATTCAGCATATCGGCACTTCTCGACCCGTTTTCGACCCGTTTTACCCTCTCGGCCCGCCCATGCAGAGTCGGGCGAGGTGTGGTGTTTCGGCGGCGGCAGCCAGGGGCAGCTCGGCCTGGGCAGTCGGCTCCTGACGGCCCCCACACCGCAGCTGCTCAGTCTGGGCCAGCTGCGCGCCCGGGAGGTGGCCGCCGGCCACTGCCACTCGGCTGTCGTCACAGGTGTGTGCCGTAGTATATTGGTGCAGACTGCATATACACGAGGTCGGCGGGTGATCAAAGGTAGGTGACGAACACCGATTAATATAGTTGTGCATCTGGCAGCACCTATACGGTATATAGAAGATGTAGATAGAGTGACGGATCTGGCATGACTGTTCAATGTGGTTCTTATGCTATGTCTTATCTTACAGCAGCATGCAAATTGTTGGTCATGCTTGGGCCTTACCTACCAGGCCTGAATAAGACGACTATACAGCGCCCATTAGACGTCACATTCCTACCGATTCGTTCTGTGTAATCGCACGCCTGTTCAATTTCCTGCTGACAGAGGACCACCAGCTGCTGACGTTCGGCGACTCGCGTCACGGGAAGCTCTGCACCGGAGATGAGGAGAGCAACGTGTTCACTCCCCAGCCGGCCAGCGAGGTGCGCCACCTGCACGTCGCCAGGGTGAGTTAGCGGCACCAACGGCAGGGCAGTGGCGTGGTTGGAAGGCGAGTTTCACCTAAATGGGTAGGAATGAAGTCATCGGTGTGGTGGTTGAAGGAGAGTCCCACATCGCGGCAGGATGGGAGCGGGCTGCTACAGGCTGCTGTGGTGTAGGAAGGCGAGTTACTTGTCATCAGGCTCAGAACGGCACTGGCAGGCTGGTGTTATTGGAGCGGAAGTTAAATGGGTCACGTACCGTTTCGAGGAAGAAATCGTAAATGTCACCCTTAGACCGATATAAGATATCAGCCGAGACAGGAAGCGGAAGCCGGGATTTGAAGCACCCTCAGCTGCACGGGCACCGCTGGTTGGTGACCGTTCCGGCGCGGCTCGGCAGGTCGTCCTGGGCGGCTGCCAGACCATGGTACTGGTGGAGCGCCGGCCGGTATCTCCTGAACGGAGGAGCCCCCAGCAGCTGATCGCCAACGGTCTGCCCCCGCCCTCGGACGACGTACACAGCTCGGCCCGGCAGCGCCGCAGGGAACGAGAGGTCAGCTAGTGCTGGGGGTGTGTGCGTGTGTTTGTGTGTTTCTTTTTCTTACTTATGCTTGCCTATCTATGCACT